AGTGCCCGTCACCCAGGCACCCCCACCCCTCACCCTCCTCTCCTTCCACCACCCCTAGTTTGTTTCCCAGAGTTAGGAGTCTTCATGTTCTGTCATTTGCTTCAACGTGGATGGGACTGGAGGGGATTATGCTGAGTGAAGTAAGTCAATTGGAGAAGGACAAACATTATATGGTCTCATTCACTCAGGGAATATAAAAGTAGTGAAAGGGATTATAGAGGAAAGGAGAGATAATGAGTGGGAAATATCAGAGAGGGAGACAGCACATGAGAGACTCCTAACTGTGGGAAACGAACAAGGGGTAGTGGAAGGGGAGGTGGGCGGGGGGTAGGGGTGACTGGATGACGGGCACTGAGGGAGGCACTTGATGGGATGAGCACTGGGTGTTTTGCTATATGTTGGCAAATCGAACTCCAATAAAAAATATATACAAAAAAATGTTCTGTATCTGTCAGATTTACTTGGCTTATTGTGTTACTGAAGTCCTGTATTCATCTTTTGTCTAATTGTTGTATCCGTTATTGTATGTGGGGTATTCATGTCTCCAACTGTTATTATATGGCTATTTATTTACCATTATTCTGATGGTCTGTTATTAGTATTATTCGGGACTCAGCCCTCTGAGCCTGATATGGAACTTTAGGTCCCTCTAGTGTCATGGTTAGTGACTCTGCTTGGTCTAGGCAATGTTTTATAATTTAGAGCATTGGGCCAATAGCTTTTCTCATTGGCTCACTTCTGAAGTGTGAAAGTCTTTATTCATATAACCAAGCTCCAGTTTATAGAAGACAACCAAAATTGCAAAGTATATGAAAATCTAAAAACACAGTTAAGATTTATAGCCAAGATACAAGATTCAAAAGGAAAGAAGCTGTGGACTGAATTATAAATTAAATATTAGAAGAATGAGCTCAGGTTCTGCCTAGAAAAATCTGACACTGCCCTGTTGCTTTTCCTTAAGCTATTTAGTGCCTTCTGGAATTATTTCCAACCCAAGATTTCTTAACCTTTTTGATCATATATAATTTTGATAATTTTTTAAAACTTTTTTTTCCCCCAGAAAAATGCTAATGTGCACATTTCATATAAATATGTATATATAGTGTTATCAGAAACATTCAGGAACCTCTCCAAGGATTTTAGGTTCAGAATCCTATTCATGCCTAATTCAAAACCAACTTTCCACATGTGATTGCCCAGCTCTTTCTGTTGCCGGGCACTGGTGATCTTGGATGTTGGTTAACTAAGGATAGTTAGAGAAACTACCTGATTACGCAGGATCAAGGAGAAAGAGAATAAGAAGCACAGAGAAAATGGAATTAAGCCATAATCTTTGCATTTCCCACTGAAGCTTTAAATGTATCTGTAGTCTTCACTTTAATCAAAATAGCTTAATTTAGGAAAGAAAGAGCCCACTTCTTTTTCTTTATAAAATCTTGATTTTATTGCTTTCTGAATGCTTTTCTTTTTAAAGGAGGAACATAAACCACATCTTACTGAGGGGTCTTAGTTTGACAGCTTAAGTGAGGTCATGCTAGGACTCAAATGTTTCTGGTCCATGATAGGAAGGCCAATGGGATGGATCTGACAAGGGTCTATTAGCAGCAAGGACCAAGGAAGCCCCTTTGGAATGATCTCACGTAAGGAAGAAACTGTTGGTTTGGGACAATGTTCCAGGGTTTGAGGGTCAAGTGTGATTTGAATACACATGGTGTCAGTCACTTATTGCCCTGCAGCTCCTATTGACTTGTGCCTGACACGAGGAAAGAAACAATTGTGAGGAAAATGCTAAAATTTTGTTTTATTAGTATCTCTGTAAGGTGTTGTAGCAGATGTTGGTGGTACCCCCATGCAAATGCGATGACTTCCTATCTGAGAGTGTTTTTTTCTACAGCAAAAAGAGCAAGCCCAGGCCTTAAGCCAGGCAAGCTGGAAATGCCAGTAAGTTAATGCCTCTGGAAACAACCCTTAGTCAATGACAGATGGGAATTTGGTGAGGAAACAGCCTGCAGCCAATGATGAAGAGCTTCTTCATCCCTCAGATTGAGATAATTCGTACATGTGTTCTACTCTGTCTCCCAAAGTCCTCCAACATGACTGGGATTTAGGGATAAGTAGCTTGATAACACACTGTCTATTGGCTTTCTTTCCATCACTATATTACTTTTCCTACTCCCTTTCCACTCTTCCTGGGATTGCCTCCTAAATAAACTACTTGCACTTAAGTCTATATCTCAGAGGCTGTTCCTGGAGAGAAACTACTAGAAAAGGCATTGAGCAAATACAGCAGCCCAAGCTTGGGAGTCAGACAGACCTGAATTCAAACTCCTTCTCACCATTGACAGTGAGCAACTTAATTTCTCTAAGGCTGTTTCTTTATCTGTAAAATGGGGAGAATGATATTGACTCTACAAGGTCAGGTTGTAAAGACAATTTTGAAAATGTATGTAAAGTATTGTGCATAGTGGCCGTACATAATAAGTGCCTAATGCATGTTGGCAATTATCATTAATACAGTATTGATGATATATTTTTTATGATTTTTATTTATTCATGAGATACACAGAGAGAGAGAGAGAGGCAGAGACACAGGCAGAGGGAGAAGCAGGATCCCTGCGGGGAGCCCAATACGGGACTTGATCCCAGGACCCCAGGATCACGGCCTGAGCCAAAGGCAGACACTCAATCACTGAGCCACCCAGGCATCCCTGATAATATTGTTAATACGGCACAGGGCAGGTTGAGGCCAAAGCTGCCTTTCACCTTCGGGATGACCTCTGAAGTAGGCTGATGGCAGATGTGCTATTACAGGCTGTCTCTAATGAGCATCTGTGGCTTAGCTGTCTCAGTGGCATAGAGGAAGCATTGTCACAGTAAGCCAGGGCAGGAGAGGAAAATGGGAGACATCAAGTGGTGGCTTAGAAGATGAACAAGTGGCACTGCCAGTTGTGCCTAGTTTCCACCGATGGCCACAGTACGATCAGTGAGTTGATATCTGGGACCAGTATTTGCTTTGATGGCAGTTGTTTCATTAGCCTCACTCTTGACGGATTATGCTCAGGGCTATTGAGGTTTAGTTTCTAGTTTCAGTCTCTTTTCTCAAACATACAGAGGCCCCTGCAGCTTTACGTTTATGGCCTTGTTTTAGGGCCTTGCAAGATGGGGCTATTCCCTCTGTTCCCCTTCACTACCCACTCCCTACTCCCAGATAAGATCATATTTGAATTCTTTGACCACAGTGAAAGAGAAACCGAGAGACTGAGGCAGGTTGAAGTTACAATTACAGTGCCAGGTTTCGCCTCTAGGGCTTTAGACTTTTCCAACAGCCTAATGTGCCAGAGTGGATATAAATGATTGGCTGCTTTGGCTAAGGTGCAGATGGCAGGGGGGACCTGGTTGTTGCCACCCACTGCTGGCGTAGCCAGATGACCAGGGCAGATAGAATGTGTTTCAGCAGTTTTTATTACTTCACTCTAGACTAAAATAAAGGACTTAATGATAACATCCCTTCACAATCTTCTCTTGCTGATTGAGACACTAATAGATGAATTTCTCCCCTATTCAGAAAGAGGGTATGTGTATAGGAAAAGGTTGCTAACATGATTCTTACACAGCTTTCAAGAAAGAAGTGCATTGCAGAGAGAAGGAAACCAGCAACCTTGGCACACCTGGCCTTAAGAACAATAATCCCACAGCCTGTTCATCTCATCTGCTTCCTGGAAGAAATAAAAATCTTTCAATGACCTTGTCAGAGGTCTTCAGCTCGCACAGGGCAAGTCCTGAGAGGGTCCCATTACATCTGTATATGGTGTCAGAAAAATCTGCTGACATCCTCACTTTATTTTTTTTATTTTTTTTAATTTATTTATTTATGATAGTCACAGAGAGAGAGAGAGAGAGGGGCAGGGACACAGGCAGAGGGAGAAGCAGGCTCCATGCACCGGGAGCCCGACGTGGGATTCGATCCCGGGTCTCCAGGATCGCGCCCTGGGCCAAAGGCAGGCGCCAAACTGCTGTGCCACCCAGGGATCCCAACTTTAATACTTATCTCTGAAACAAGTTATCTATGGTTCCTCGTGGAGTGACTTGCCTTTAAGTGATTTGAGTTCAGGGGCACCTCGGTGGCTCAGTCATTTAGGCTCAGGTCATGATCTCAGGTCGTGATATTGAGCCCCGGGTCAGGCTCCGTGCTGGACATGGAGCCTGCTTAAGATTCTCTCCCTCTCCATCTGCCCCACCTCCCCCGACAGTGTGCACGCTCTCTCCCCTCCTCTCTCTCTCTAAAAAAAAAAAAAAAAAAAAAGGAAAAAAGTGATTTGAGTTTGTGTCTTGTCTTCATGTTAGACAGTGAGCTCCTTGAGAGCAAAAATTCAGATATGATTTATTTGTATATGCCCAGAAGCCAGCATAGCTCCTACCGGGGGTTGCCAGTTTTAGCATGAAGACAAAACAAAGCAAATGTTAAAAAGTTATTTGCTTATCCAAAATTCAAACTTAACTGGGTGTCCTGTATTTTATCTGGCATCCTATTCTTCACATTTAGCTAACCTCAACAAATATTAGTGAGTGAGTGCATGAGTCAATGAGTAGCACTGTACCAAAAAATGGGGGACTAAACTGGTAAAAATGTGGATTGACTATGGAGAAGATACTTGTCCCAGTTATGCTTAATAATCACAAAACTGTGTCTGGTTAACACATTCCCTGTGAAAATCTGCCAGCCTGGCTTCAACTGGAGATACATTTTGTAACCATGCTTTGATGGCCACCTTCGCTCAGTGTCCATGTGGGAAGAATACTCATCTTCTGTGAATGTAGGCGTTTCGTTCCAACAATTTCACATCTTAATTCTGCACATTTCCGAGTTCATATGTTTGCCTAATTGTTTATTTGTGTGTGCCAGTTGTACAAGAAAATTGACATTGGATGGTGCCTGGGGTTCGGCCATTCTGAAACCCAATCATCTGTTATCTTCCTTTAAAATGGCCCACACTGTGCTTTTACTCCAGCCGAACCCTGGGGTTTTGGGTAAAGTCATTGACCTTGATTAAACCATCAGGACCAATCCTGTTTGGGAAAAATGTATCCGAGGTTAGTTCATTGAACAACCTTAAGAAGACAGTATGTTAACCCTCCCACTCCAAATGAATTCTGTGTGGCTCCTATCCTCATTGCCCTCTTTTTGTCTGATCTCTGGGCAGCCCGGTCCTTCTCCTTCTCCACTCCTCCCCTACTTGGTAAACATGAGTGTCAGTGTCACCTGAAGGGCTTGCTGAGACACCTAAGCCTGGGTCCTGCCCGAGTTTGTGAATGGACATTTTCAGGCGGCAGCCTGGGAAGTAGCCTTTCCAACTCATCACCAGGATCACTGTCCTATACTGTTCTTCCCGTCTCATTTGGGTTCTTAGTGCTTGTTCTTCACAACATTGCTCCGTCCTCCGAGCAGTGTAATACAGTAACCTCACTGTATCATGGCCTGCTAGGTTTGTTTACCCAGCGTTCTTTCCCCTCTGATGGGTAAAAGTTTACTTACACTTCCTGTTCAATGTAGTTCAGCATTCTGCTGACATGTGAGGCAGAGATCTCCCCGTCCACTTCGGCAATATATGTGTAGAGAAATTGGAAGGTGCTAAACGGGATCCGAGGAGGTCCACTGTCATGGTCAGATGATAACACCTCACAAACTATCTTGAGTGTTTTGGCAATGGTCTAAAAAGTCATAAGATAAAATGAGAAAGTCACTATTCCAAACTAAATTCCTAAGACCAGTTTAAAGATTTTATTTATTTGAGAGAGAGAGAGAAAAAAACAAGCAGGGGGGAGGGGCACAGGGAGAAGGAGAAGCAGACTCCCCGCTGAGCAGGGAGCCCAACTCAAGGCTTAATCCCAGGACCCAGAGATCATGACCTGAGCTGAGGGCAGATGCTTAACCAACTGAGCCACCCAGGTGCCCCCTTAAATCAGTTTAGATACAAGAAAGAAAACAAAAATATTGCTCTCATAAAATGAAGTGGGAATGATGTAATATTCTGGAAAGCTTGAACTTTTTTACATCAAAATATCATTTAATTCAATCTAAAAACTATTGAGGTACTGGGTGTCTTTCTTTTTTCCTTTCTTTGTTGGAGGGATATTCTCAAGGAATTAAGTTTACAAACTGCCGAATAGTTTAAGATATTTATTACTTTGATTAGAATAACCTCACTAAGGGAGAATTTGATTTTACATTCTAAAAAATCAAAATTACTTCTTATTCTTATTACTCTCCAATCTTACCTCTAAAGGGTTGAGGTAATTAGTCTAGCTCAAATGCTTGAGCAGTACTTGGACCAATGCCACAATAGAGGGAAGGAGGGAGGAGAAGGGTAAGTCCTTGGGAAGACAGGAGCCCCAGATATAGGAAAAGTGACATGGAGCATTAAAACCAGTTCTTCTGAAACATGTAGATCCATCTAATCAGAAGACCTAGTATTATAAATGACATAACATTCACCTTGTTGTTGCTGGGGAAGAATTAGTAGATGATGGGTGCCAGAAGGTTTATGGTATAGGAGCAAACACTCTTTACAATGAAACTTCAGCATTAAAAGATCATGTTCAGAATTAGGTTTTACTCACCTTGTGTCTTTAAATAAATCTACTCTTTTTTTTTAAGATTTTTTAATTCATTTATTTGCTTAAGAGAGAGAGAGAGAGAGAGAGCACGTGCACAAGCAGGGCAGGGAGGAGCAGAGGAAGAGGGAGGAGTAGGCTCCCCACTAAGCAGGCAGCCCAACATGGGGTTTGATCCCAGGACCCTGGGACCATGACCTGAGCCGAAGGCAGACACTCAACGGGCTGAGCCACCCAGGTGGCCCAATATACCTACTTTTTTTTTTGAATTTTATTTATTTATGATAGTCACAGAGAGAGAGAGAGAGGCAGAGACACAGGCAGAGGGAGAAGCAGGCTCCATGCACCGGAAGCCCGACGTGGGACTCGATCCTGGGTCTCCAGGATCGCGCCCTAGGCCAAAGGCAGGCGCCAAACCGCTGCGCCACCCAGGGATCCCCTATACCTACTTTTTATATAAATTTCACAAGTGAAAGAATGTTGAGATTATGGGATAAAAGAAAGAAGTGATCTGAAAAAAGGATTGCTTAGTTCTGAATTAGCAAACATAGGTCAGCATGTATATCTTGGTAGTTTGCCGAAACCAATGATGTGCAGATTATCCTTAAACACTTACTTTCCAGGGATCAGTGAAAAATGAGTCCTGACTGTTGAACTGGGTGTGCCTGGGTGAAGGAAAAGGCAGCTGTTATGCCCCCAGAAGGCTGGCCAGCATTTGTTCCTCCTCTGCAGTTGCTGTGGCCTGTTCTATTCCCATCCTCCCTCTGAATAGAATGGTTGTCTGCGTGATGCTTCTTTAACTGGCGTGTGTTACCCAGGGGTGGAAGTGGGGATTGTCAGGAGATATATGAGGAGGCTGAATATATTTGACTGTCTTCCTATGGTGACAGTTTTAGCTGATGACAAGTGACTTAAACATTTTTTGCATTAATTATTAATTGTAATTGATTTAATATTTAAATTTTGTTTCTTTACATTTATAAGAATTGCTATTTTATGAAATGGAATTATCAATGTATATGAATTTTAAAATGATAAACCACATTATGTCAAAGAGATTTGGGGTTTGCAGCAGGCCATTTTCGTTGACTCTCCCTTGCCCTTGGGAGTCCTCACCTGGAAACTGCTGTGAAACACTGTATGTAGCAGTGTGCCAGGCACTTCTAGGAAGGAGGGGAAGAGGCAGGCAGCCAAAGACTGGGTAAGAGGCTGTTAGTGAGATGGAGGGATGTATGTGTGACTCTAGGTCAGCATGACAGGGGGTTTGGGGTAGATTTGCAAGCATGCGTGCAATGAACTCCAGAATCTCTATTCATAGCTCATCTTCTCTGCTTCTCCTTTAAAAAAAAATCCCCTACTGCCTTTGTTTTGCTGTTCTTTCCCTTTAGGCTCATCCAGATTGGGGTGCTGTTAAGGGCTGAACTATGTTTCCCCAAAATTCATATGCTGAAGTCTTAACCTCAGTACCTCAGAATGTGACTATATTTGGACATAGGGCCATTGGAGAGGTAATTAAGTTAAAATTCAGTCATTAGAGTGGGCCCTAATCCAATAGAACTGCTGTCCTTCTAAAAAGAGGAGATTTGGACATAGAGACACCAGATAATATGCATACACAGAGAGACAGCCATGGGAAGAACCGAACCACAGTGGGGAGCCTAGGTGGCTTAGTCAGTTAGGACTCTAACTCTTAGTTCCTGCTCAGATCATGATCTTAGGGTCTTGTGATCAAGCCCCTCATCGATCTCAGAGCTCAGCAATGAGTCTGCTAAAGTTTCTCTCTCCCTCTATCACTGCCCCTCCCTGAACTCACTCATGCTCTCTCTCAAATAAATGATCTTTTTTTTTAAAAAAAAAGGAAGATGAAAGAAAGAAAGAAAGAAACAAGAAAGAAAGAAAGAAAGAAAGAAAGAAAGAAAGAAAGAAAGAAAGAAAGAAAGAAAGGAGGAGACAATGGCCATTTACAAGCCAAGAGGAATGACTTCAGACACCTGGATCTCAGATTTCCAGGCTCTAAATCTGTGAGAAAATAGATTTCTGGTGTTTAAGCCACCCAGTTTGGGGTACTTTGTTCTGGCAGCCCTACAGCATCTTTTGTTAACCATTCAAACACAAACCTTTAAGTTCTATTGTCCTCATAAAATTTTAAAATATTTTTTTAAAATTTTATACATGGCTGAATGGATAAAGAATTCTCTGCACTAGAGCTTTTTGGAAAACGTAAATAAATCTAAACTAAATAAGAATCTGCATTTTGTTGCACAAGATTTTTTGGTCAGCTGGGGAATCCACTTCATAAACAGAGCCCTTAAGCATCTGCTGAGACTCACAAACCCAGAGGTGAAAGTCTCAGAAAGTGAATTATTTGCCAACAAAACATCCTTCCTTCCGATGAACACAATATTCCTTTTCTATAATCAGTCCCAGTGGAACAGGAGGGAATATAGGCTAGTCTAGAGGAAGGAGTGCTGAGAGGGAAGAGGAGTACAGGTCTGCACGCCACAGACTGTTGTTTGTTTTTTAAATTTTTATTTGTTTATGATAGTCACAGAGAGAGAGAGAGGCAGGGGCATAGGGAGAGGGAGAGGGAGAAGCAGGCTCCATGCACCGAGACCCCGACGTGGGATTCGATCCCGGATCTCCAGGATCGTGCCCTGGGCCAAAGGCAGGCGCTTAACCGCTGCGCCACCCAGGGATCCCCGCCACAGACTTTTGAATCATGGGTATAGACTAGGAAAGCTCAGGAAAGTACTTGCCATTAGATGAAAGGAGGGAACTGGTTTTTCTAAATGGCACCAGGATCATGGTTAGCTGGTGAATTAGCAAAGGAAGGAGAAATCCCTGGGCTTGCCTAGAATGCAAAGCCTCCACCAGATGCTCATGCCCTCATACCTCCACATTGAAGTTCCCAGCAATAGTTCAATAAGAAACAGATGGGTATAATGCACCTGGTTCCTGGATTCACAGGGCGCCTTTATTTACAGACTAGCCCTTCAGGCTGACTTCACCTAGGTGTTCTGGAATGTTGGGATGATGAGGGGCACCGTCAGATACCTCAGGACCTCACTGTGATCCAAAGCCAGACCTGAAGGTGTCTCAGTGGAAGTGGATGGAGAAGGTGGAACAGAACTGTAGAATGTTAGAGATGAAAGAACGTCATGGAACATCTGATCCAAACTCTTTGTTTTGGAAGGAGATAGAAAGATACAATCCACCTCATGGTTTCCCCTCCCCAATCTGGGAGGCAGACATACTGAAGTAAACCTAGCAGCTGCGCTGTGAGCTAAGCAGAGGGAGGAGTGGAATTTAGTATTCCATAGTCACTTTTGGTTACTTTGAGGTATGTGGACAAGGAGAGGACTCACACATCTCTCACAAGGTGGTGAGGGTCTGGGAAGTAGAGCCCTGGAGCCAGGGAGCAGAGGAGGGTGACTTGAAAGGGTTCGGAGAGGCCCTAGAACATGCCAGAATGATGATGAGCAAGGGGGCTGGGCGGGGGGATGGTGGTGGTGCACCATGCTGTGAAACAGAAGAGACCCAGGACTTAGGCTGCAGGCAGCTAGGACCACACAGATGGTATTTATTTCCATGGATTTCAAAGGACCAAGGGTTGTGGGAAACCCTTTGCTTGGTGGCTCTGTGGTCCTGGAGTCACCGTGTCCATATTGCACAGTCCACTGCCGTCTTGAAGAGCAGAGTAGTGTGGAAAAATCTGAGAGTCTGGGCATTTACCTTAAAGCCGTTTCAGGTACTAAAATTCCTGAATTGAATTGAATCTACTTAATTCTTACTTAACCCTTTGTGGGTAGGATACACCAGGAAAATCAGAATTAACAACAGATGAAATAAAGTATGTTCCCCCTCCCACCCCAGACATCTCTGAGCGTAGCGTGGAGTAAATTTGTGACCCTATGAAAATTTAATAACATTCGTCCATTTTTTAATTTTCCTTCTGGACTTTCTCCAATCATTGGGGCTGTTCCCACAGAAGTGTGATAGTGCTGATAGGCAAAACATCTGCCCTGGCTGTATTTTCCTCTCCTTTTTGGAGGAGAGCAATTTATTCATTATATCATGTTACTATATGGGACAACGGAGACAAGAAACTGTGAATGGCCTCTCCTCTCCTTTCTCTAAAGAAATGATTATTAAGAAAGTTCCGGGAGAAGCCCATAGGTAAAGCTGAACTACGTAATATTTCTCAACTTTTGTCAGAAACAAAAATGTGAGACATGCATCCCAAGTGTATTTAAGAAGAAAGAATAAGATGGTGTTTAGATTTGTTGACTGATTCAAACTACCTTTGTGTACCGTTTGCTTTTGGCAGAGGCAATAATTTTCTCATTAACTTTCAAATTTGCATATATTCTGGGACCTTTAAAAAACCGTGTTTCTGATTCATTTTCATTTAAGCTATTAAAATGGTGTTAAATAAGAGTGAGTCCGTATGTAAGATGATACCTAAAGCTTTTAAATATACATATATTTATGGACTGGGTGCAGTATCTTTTTCTTTAAAACAGAAACATTCCTTTTCCAATTGTAAATCAAGTCAAATTTAGAAAAGGCATGAATTTGTATGAGCATCCTACATCCATGCTGATGTCATAACTGTAAGTCTGGAAATAGCCTCATTTTTCCTTTCCTGCTCTCTCATCTCTGATTTTTGTATCCAATTATGCTTATCAAATAGTAGTTTCCTGTAAGGCTGCACCTCTTTTTTAAAGGCTTTATTGGTATATCTTCTAGGTGCCTGGAACCTGAGTGTAAGCACATCTGCAGCTGGTTCTTGGTTATCTTTAGGAATATGAGTGGAGCAGTGATGGAAATAAATCTGAGGGCAATGATTAAAATTCATAAATAATCCAGAAGCCACATTCTAGTAAACCCTCCCCAGGGTCTGATGACAGTTTTCCCCTCTCTCCTCCTCCCCCCAGCTTCTGGCCGAGGAGCAGAGGATTGACCTAATTCAGAGAGGCAGGGAAGTAGACAAGACAGGTGTGCTCATCCTCAGCCCCAGAGACTGACTGTGTGTACAGACAGAGAGACTACTCTTCTAGGCCCGGATAGAGCTTTTCCCGTAAGGAACAAAAACCAGCAAAGCTCACTTACAACTCCCAGAGAACTGCAAGCAAGAGCTAAAAACTTCAGCCATTCAATCTCCTCCGTGAAGTGGCCCACATTCATCACACTATTAAACAGATCTGTTGGGAGACTCAGCACCTTCCACATCTGGGCCAGCTCATCTGCATGGATGATCAGTCTGCCAGCAACCTGCAGACCAGGGGACAGAAGCGAGAGAGAGGCACAGGATGAGAGAATGCCCCTGGAGACACTGCCCAGCAAGGCCCAGCAAGGCCGGCTACCGCCCAGCACACAACGGGGTGGGATGCGTGGGGGGGGGGCGGTCAGGGCAGGATGACTCTTGGCAGTTCTCTTTGCAAGGGTAGAGAAATACTCAGTGTGGTGTTAAGCATGCTGAGGTACAATTCAATCACTTTAACACTAGGTATCAAAATTATAGGGAAATAAATAATATCTTTATATTACATTTTATTTTTTCTGATGCTTTTATTGTCTGCTGTTTTATCCTCAGGCTGTCCCTGTAAGGCAGATAGGGCACCTGAAAATACAACCAAGGGGGAGAGGGCTTGTCTGGGACCACTACTCGGTGGTGAGAACAGAACCAGATGTTAAGTCTCTTGCTTCTACGCTCTATGGAGTTCTTTGCACTAGACTTCACATGCAACTCTCATGCTTCCCAAGAAAGGGTCTGGATGCCTAATAGTGCTTGGCCCCATGTGTGTCAGATCTCTGCCATGTGTGTTGCATAAGGTACTTGGCGGTTAAGAAAAGACAGGGAACAAATGGCCAGTTGTTGGCCAACAATGTGATAAGACTACCGATGCCCCAATGAAGCATCACCTTCCCGAGCCCTCTGATTCTAGTGAAACGCTAAGCCTCTGGGAGCAAGGTTGTTGGCTGTCAATCACCCCAAACCTTTCTGTCCTGGATTTTAAAGCAGAGTATAGTGGTGCTAAACCATATTTCCTGGGAACTGGCCAAACTGCAGCTCTCTTGAGTCAGACTGTCCTCATCCATTCACTGGAAAGCTCCCAGAGTGACGTGGCTGTGAAGAGAGCCAGGATTTTCCCTAAAAGGTAAGCTTAGGTCTGCACCTGGGGTTACTGGGGAACTAAATTATGTCCGTCTCCAAACCATGACTGGCATCCTATTATGGTCTTGAGCAGTAAGGGGGGGGGAGTCATGGTCAAGGGACTATGGATCTGCACTTTTCTGGGGAGGAAAGATTAGCATTGAATTGAGACCCTGGACACTTTGTCAGCTTCAGGGAAAGCTGGGATGACCCCTGCTAATAACTCAGCTATTTCAATATCATTCCTATTTCCCCAAGAGAAGATTTGCTTCCAAGGCATGGTTTAGTGAATTCTATGATACTGAGTGGCCAGCTGGCTGGGTGGGGATGGTGGGCTTGTGTCTGTACCCACCTGGCCTCAGCATGGCCCATCCTCCCCCTTGCTGCTGTGGTCCGGCCCTTACCCGAGAATGCAGGATCTTTAACAGCTCAGGTGTAAGCTCTGCCCAGTTAGACAAAGCCACTCGCTCAGACCGCTCTCTCACTGGAGGAATCTCTCCACGGGACATAGCCCCGAAATAACTGCAAGAAGAGAGTTAGGGGTTGGGGAGGCATCGGCCACTCCAGGGGCCTCTGGCTGCTTTGAGAACCCCCATCCCTTTTTCTTGAGGGAAGGGGCTGGAGGACAGAACATTTGGTAGGAGCTTCTAGATGCCAGATGTTTCGTGTAGTTCACTTACCTACAGGAAAGGCCTGAGTGTGTTACTTGCCACTCAAGGTATAAAGAACACTTAAGGAGTAAAAAGTTTAGTTTGTCTCTAAGGGTGAGGAGTAATTAATATAAATTTTGGTGTGGAATTCCTTGAAGAGCACTGAGTCTGGGATTTTTTTTTCCCAGTCACACTTCTAAATGTTTTATATATACACATGTGTGTGCCCACATATACATACACACATAGACATATAATATATAGTAGGAGATAGATAATATGTGTGTATCAATGTATTATACATTATATAGTATCAATATCAATGTATCAATAATTATACATTATATAGAACGCAACATGTACGTGGACGTATATAATACATAAGATAACAGTAATTTGTGTCTCTCCTATCATGTCTATTATATATAATACATATGGTTATATAATTTCTAATATGTGCAGAGATATATACATATACATATATACATAGATTATATGTATTATATGTATTATATAACATATATATAATAGGAGAGAGAAAAATCATTGTTAGATTAAATCCCCCACTCTCTTTTATGGAGGAAGAATCCTGGTCCCTAGAGGAACTGTTTTTCAAACGTAAAATGTCTCTTTTTAGTAACATGGCTAGCAACATACTTTTTTTTAAAATATTTTATTTACTTATTCATGAGAAGCAGAGACACAGGCAGAGGGAGAAGCAGGCTCCAAGCAGGGAGCCTGATGTGGGACTCAAACCCGGGTCTCCAGGATCATGCCCTGGACCAAAGGCAGGCGCTAAACCGCTGAGCCACCCAGGGATCCCAGCTAGTGGCATACTTAAAGCTGATTATCAGGTAGTGGGTACTATGTAATGGTGGTAATAAGTAATATACAATCTTGGAAAAAAGTTGGAAGAACACTAGAGTGACCTGTACAAGAAAGGGGAGGAGAGGGAGGTGCTCTCAGCGGGGGGCCAGGAAAGGTTCCAGTTGGAAGCAGTGAAGCTTGAGCTTCAAGGGAGAAGAGAGAGAAGGCTGGCAGGGCGCCCAGAGATGCTCAGGTGAGAAGCCACAGAAGGGTGGGGATGATCTTACATGGAGTACGTGAGGTTAAAACCCTTCTCTATCTTTCCTCAAAAATTTTAATGAAGTCTACTGCTCACTGACGCTTAGTGGACTCTGAGTACAATGTGGAAAAAAATACTGAGTCCTATCTCAGGATTAGATAAAAAGGTATTAGGGACACTTGAAGGGATTAGTGGTTGAGTGTCTGCCTTCGGCCCATGGTGTGACCCTGAGGTCCTAGGATCAAGTCCCACATCAGGATCCTTGCAGGGATCCTGCTTCTCCCTCTGCCTGTGTCTCTGCCCCCTCCTCTCTCTCTCTCATGAATAAATAAAATCTTTTTTAAAAAGATAAAAAGGTATTAGATAAAAAGGCCTGAGCACCTGAGGCTGAGTCGGCTAGCATCCGACTCTTGGATTCAGCCTGACATCATGGCTGGTGGGATTGAGACCCATGGTGGGCTCTGTGGTCAGCAGGACTCTGCTTGGATATTGTCTCCCTCTGCCCCTTCCCTTGCACATACGTTCTCTCTCTCTCTCTCTCTCTCTCTCTCTCTCTCTCTCTCATAAACAAATAAATAAATATTTTAAAAGATAAAAAAGGGCTGCCTGTAGCAGGGAATCGACATAAGGAATGGGTCACCGATGCTATCTGGAAGGGTCTGTCCCCATCACAAGCCTTGTTGTTATTAACTTATCCCCGGATCCCATGCCTCTGCCCCCTCTGCTTTAGTTTTCATGAATAAATATTTTCATTATTTTTCTCCAGATCCAGTAGCATAAAAAGAATATGGAGGGGATTTTGTAGAAGCCCAGAGGGCATTTTGCAGAAGCCCGTACTAGGGTCAAGCCATACAACGGTGGGGACGAACCATCGCCTGACTCTATTTCACAGAGCAATGCGGTGCTAAAGCTAACAGGGACCAAAACGATACCTTCCAGGTATCCCCTGGAGGTCAGCAGCGGGGAGTGCAGAAGAAATGCTTTCTGGATACCCTTTCCCTTGGGCATGAGCGATTTCCACAGACAAATTAGTTTGGGGGTAAGTGTGCGTTCAGGGTGACAACAGGAGTGGGCTGTAGAAATGTGGGTGGCATAGAAGGGAGAGGCAGAAACACAGCACCTCATTTGACAGAAGAGACTTCCCAGGGAGAGGGTGACACCCAGCAATGTCTTTGGACTTTTTAGCCAGGCTGGTGAGAGAATGTGGAAATTAGACGGTAGCCATGGATTTAGTACCCTGTGGGTCATTTAGCTTCATTCACGATGAACAATTCCACGATTATTCATGTACATTAGACATTTGTGTGGTCACACACACTACAAGGCCAGTTTACGTCTTGGAGATGATTTCTTCACTGACAGCACACACACAGGGAGATTCTTGCTCGTGATGAATCAAGCACATATTTTGTCTTGGAAATACTTTGTGGAGTCTTCACAAAGTGCTACAGGCTTGTGAGTCACATAAAACTTTCTGATAAGTGCTTTTCATGTCTGAAGAGATGGAGAGTGCTCTGAGGTCACGCTCCCTTTTTTCATTGTAGTTAAACTACACACTGATTCTTCACGGATATCTAAAAAATTTATGGCACATGATACAAAGCGGGAGCAAGCCGGCTACAGCAGTGGAATGTTTTCTCCCATAAATGTCAGGGACAATTGCAAGAAATGTCATTTTTCTTGTTATTAAGCAGCAGCATAATAAAATGTGTGTGTGTGGGGGGGTTAAATTATGGTATAGCTTAAAACAAAGTCTGTCTGGGTAGGCCAAAAAGAAATTAGTCTTCTGATGCCACAGTGCAGGCTTAAGAGATAATATTTGAAATTTAGAATGGAAAACTAAACAGTGTTCATTACTAGAAAAGCAATCCCATTATGTCCCTTTTTACGAGCGCCACTGGCTTATTTTTCCTTCCGTCTGTAAAAACTTCATCTGGACCCATGGCGGGAGCAGGATGGAGTGGCCCAGAGACTGCGGGGCTCCTCTTGGGTCACCCTGCGTGCCTTCTCAAGGTGTCCACACCTTCTAGCCACCTGCTCAGATACCTCAGGCCCAGGACATTCATCCTCCCCTCCCCCAGCCCACCAGCAGGCTCAACCACCTGACTCCTCCTTGCCCACGGAACCGCTGCTAAGGAGGTCACCCTGAAGCGGCCACACCCGCTGAAAATGATCCGTGTGTGTGTGTGTGTGTGTGTGTGTATGTATGTGTGTGTGTGTGTGTGTGTGGTTAGCTCCCAGCTCCAGCCTCAAGCCCCAGGTCCCCGGGTCCCAATCACGTTCCCAGCTCAGACACCTTGTGTGGGGGGCTGGCTCCAGGGCAGCTCCTGAAAGCCCCGCCCCCTCCGAGTTAGAGACCCACGTCCCCCCCTCCTGAAAGCCCCGCCCCCTCCGAGTTAGAGACCCACGTCCCTCCAGCCATTCCTGAAAGCCCCGCCCCCTCCGAGTTAGAGACCCACGTCCCTCCCGCCCCCCGGCGCTCAGTTTTGCAGCCTTGTGGACTGCGTGGACATCTGCACGTCGGAGCCAACTCGTTCCAGGAGACACTAAGGAAAATAAGTTTCCCGCAAAGACAAGCCACGGGCGGTCTCTGGTTGGGGCCTGAATGAGCCCGACCCGCAGTGCGGGGCCCGTGGGGTGGGAGTGGGGGTGGGGTGCTCAAAACGGCGCAAGCGCAGAGCTGCAAGCTGCTCCCTGGTGGTGAGCCCAGGGCCCCGCCCGGGTTTAGGGCCGCGAGGGCAGGTGGGGCAGCTGCGCGGCTCCCCGCGCTCACTTCCCCCCCCCGGGCCCCCAGGGGGTCGGGGCGCAGCCGCAGGTGCGGGAGCGGCCGGGCCGTGGGGCTCTAACTCGCGCTGGCCGCTGCGGGACCCTCCGCCCACTGCGCAGCTGGGTCGCTTAGGGGCGGGTGGGGGAGGGTGGGGGAGGGCGGCTCGCCCTCGGCCCGTGGGGTGCATTTCTGTGTGGATTTGAAAGCAGCAAAGCAGGGGATGGGGGGGTGACTGGGTGACGGGCACTGAGGGTGGCACCGGGCTGGGTGAGCACTGGGTGTTACGCTATATGTTGGCAAATGGAACTCCAATAGAAACATATACACAAAAAAATATAAGATATGCCAAATTGGAAAAAAAAAAATAAAGCACCAAAGCAGTCCGAGAGCCGAACATCACAAAGATTGTGCGAATCGGCCCCGACTGCCTAGGCTGCAGCCAGGACTACCTCCTCAGCGGTGGGGACCCCCCTCCCCGCCCCACTCACCTCCACCTGCGGGGATGGGGGCGCTGGGGCACAGGTGGGAAGGGTACGTACTCCGCAGCCCACTGGATGAGGTCCTGCGGCTGGGTGCGAATGGCGGCCTTGGTGAATTGCTTCAGCAGCTCCGGCAGCTCCGGGGGGATGCATATTTGCTTGTCTGTCTGAGGCATTGATGGATCGACCTGTTGGCAAGGGAAAGAGAAATAAACAAATCGGGACTCTATGAATCATAAAATGACAGGAATCCTGGACGAGAGGCCACTCAGCCTCGGTTTGACCTGAGACCTGCTGGGGCGTTCACTACCCCCAAGCTGTAGGCATTCTGCTGCTACGCAGATCCAAAGTCAGAAAATGGGTTACTGATCCTCGCTTTTTGTTCTTGTAAATAACTATGCCCTTTACATAAAAACCACACAGTACTTCATTTAAAAAGCAGAGAGCAGCAAGAAGCAAAAATATCCCCTAATGATGTCACCCCAAAATATTGGATGTCTCCTTCCAGAATTTTTTCAGTGTAAATATGTTTGTATAAATACAATTAAAAGGGGATCCCTGGGTGGCTCAGTGGTTTAGTGTCTGCCTTCTGGCCAGGGCATGATCCTGGAGACCCAGGATCAAGTCCCACATCAGGCTCCCTGCATGGAGCCTGCTTCTCCCTCTGCCTGTGTCTCTGCCTCTCTCTCTGTGTCTCTCGTGAATTAATAAATAAAATCTTTTTTAAAAATACAAATAAAATAAAATCATGCACAGCAGCATATCCTGAACGTCTTCCTTGTCACACACACACACAAAACTCTTAGAGCAGAATAAATTGTAGCAAAATTTACTCTGCGAATCCTCTATATTATTTGAGTAGATTATTTCCAAATAAAAATAATCATTAAATGGCCATTTGGTGAATATGTCTCCTTACATCGACATGTATTTATCTGTTCTAATTGTAAAAGAGAAAACTTGTACATTTCATTCAAAAAATTCTGGGACAAATTGAAACAAAACATAAAAATCCATAGATGGTACACGAGCAGCAGGTTAAAAGATTTTAATCTTTTTTAGCAGTCTGCTGCTAGCAGAGGAAAAGAGACAGGATAATCCAAAAAGGCCTCATCTTCAAAACACATTAGACAAATCCTAGCAAACATACCTTTCAGATCAGATTGCCTTGCTGAACTTGGAAGAAAGTGAGGGAAATCCTTAAGAGCCAAATAAAGTGAGTAAAGCAGAAACCAGACTGATAAGCAAATGAAGAAAGAAAGGGACAAATGTAGATGCTAGCAATTTGAACCTAAGACGAGGCCTTATGCCCACTAAAGGTGGACAACTAAACTAATGACTCTTATTCCCACTCCCCGAATTTAAGACCCTCCAAAGTTCACACACCCTCAATGTAAATAGTAAAAATATCTACCTGGGGTCAGTGATGAGGAAACAGAAGGCTACTTGAGGACAAAGCACACAAACGACAGCCCCTCCCTCTGCCCCCCACATCCATACCCTGTGGGATATGTGTGACCCTCCTGGGCACTCCTTCCTACCCTAAAGCTGAGGGAAAGGAAAAACAAATAGTTAACTTTTAGAGATTATAGTCTATAGGCATGAATCTCCCTCAGTTTATAAAATGTCTTAGTGATTTACAAGAAAAAAACATTCTTATCAATAACCTAACTTGCAGAAGGAAACTCTCAGCTATCTTAATGTTATTGCTTTACTAGAGGGAAAAACAACCTTAACTTGACAATGGCAGGGCCTCCAATATCCTGTAGGTCCTCTTGAGCATACAAAAAACCCTTTTAAAAACCTCCCTTTTCCTTACCTCCCCCAACTCCCAAGTGTATAATCAGCCACCCCTTACAACCCTGGGCAGCAGCTCTTCCTGCCCAAGGGTCCTGTCCCCGTGCTTTAAAAAAACTACCATTTTGCTCCAAAGACGTCTCAAGAATTCTTTCTTGTCCTTGACTCTGTACCTCACCCCACCAACCTCACCTATATTTCAAAACTACGTAAGGCAGGAGCAAACAACACAGAAATATGTCTTCATTGTTGCTTCTTGTTGGGGCTACATAGTCTCCCATGAGTCTGTTGCCACAAACTAGGTCTAAGTTTTAGATTTATACCACTGACCTTGTTGGGAAATCCCAAGGCAAGAAGCTAAAGTGGCCTCAGGTTGATGGTGATCCATTATCATTTATTGAATGTTCTTTTATTTGAAGGAAGAAGAGTACAAATATATGAATTTTAGACTTTGTGAAAAGTCAAGTATGCATAGTAAAATTTCAAGAGTAATTACTGTAAAAGTAATATAACCAGTAGAAAGGAGAAAAGGAGTTAAAAACAACAACACAACTTGATCAACCCACAAGGCAGCAATAAAGGAGTGGGGAAAGCATAGGAAAAGTAGATGAGCAACATGATAGAAAGGAATCCATGTATGTCACTAATGACAATAAAAAGAAATGGTCTTAAGGGTGGCCATTAAAATACAGAAATTATAGACTAGATTTTTTTAAAAATCCAACTATGGGCACATCTGAAAAGACATAAGGACACAGGAAGATGGATTGAAGGTGGAAGGATATATGGATAAGTAAGTATATGAGACCAAAAGAAAATTGATATAGACATGGTAATACCATGTAAGAGACCTCAAGAAAAATGCATTATTAGGAATAAGGAGGGTCAGCATATCCTGATAAAAGCTTCAGTGCATTGAGAAGACAACACAGTTGTCAGTGACTATGCCTCAGACACCACCCTGTGTGAATCTAGCAATGCGGATGGAACGGAAATGTACTGTTTAGGGTTACACATATATGTCATGACATTATAACAAAGACCAAGGAACAATAAACACAAATTCCAAATTTGTGTCCCCTCCATCGGGGAGGGAGAGGATTGTCATCAGGAAGGTGCAAAAGGGGTAGTAATACTATTAGTGATGCTCTATATTTTAAGTTGGATGGTAGCTTTGTAGATGTTTGTTTCATTAGCTTTATGCCTATATATACATTTATGCACTGTCTTTTCTGTTTTTAAAAGATGTATTTATTTATTTATTTAGAGAGTAAGTGGGGAGGGAGGAAGGAGAGGGAGAAAGAGAATCTCAAGCTGACTCAGGGCTAGTTGCAGAGCCTGACACGGGCTCAATCCCAAGACCCTGAGATCAGGACCCGAGCCTGAATCAAGAGTCAGATTGCTCAACCAACTGAGCCACCCAAGTGCCCCTATTATGCACTTTCTTTTCTATGTGTGAAATAGTTCATGATTTAAAAGTTATCAGTACAAGTAGATTGTTTTTGGTAACTTTTTAAAAAAGGTTTTATTTATTTATTCATGAAACAGAGGGGGGGGGGCAGAGACACAGGCTGAGGGAGAAGCAGGCTCCATGCAGGGAGCCTGACGTGGGACTCGATCCCGGGTCTCCAGGATCACACCCTGGGCTAAAGTCGGCACTAAACTGCTGCACCACCCGGGCTGCCCTACCTCTCCATTTTTGGCCAAACAACCTTTAGTAAGCTCTCCTTTTCCCAGTTCTCCTTAAATCTCTTGCAATTCCTTCTGCTCTCACCACCCCATTTTTCTCTTAAAAGTCATCAATTACATCTATTAACTTCTGGTCTGAGCCAGATACTATGTGAAGTATTCTGCATCCATTTTATCTCTTAATCCTCAAAATATCCCTGTGAGGTAGGCTGTTACCACCATTTTACAGATGATGAAACTGAGAGAGAGCAGAAAACTTTTGAAATGATGCACAGCCCGGAAGTGGCAGAGGCAGGATTTGAACACACACGGTCTGATGTGGGAGGTGGCCTGTTAAAGAGGACTCTCCCGTCCTCCTTGAGGCTTTCTCTTCCTTTGGTGGCAGATACCACTCCTGTTTATTTTCCTCTGTCATGGTAACTTTTTCCCTCTTTCCGCGTGTTAAGCACAAGGTTGCAAGCTTCCCAAAGCTTTGTCTTCAGCATTCTGAGCTCATGTCTTCCTGTCACTCTTTTTGGAGACCTCACATCCTCTCATGGCCTTATCTACCACAAAATGGTATGGATTACACTTGTTTCTCCATCCCTGACCTCTCACCCGTGCTTTCGTTGTTCACTTCCTGTTGCCCTCCAGGACACATCACCAAAATGTATTCCCCATCTCCCAACTAGGTCCCCTCCCCAAATTTGTTTCTGAACATCCTGCCACCGTTTTCTCGGTCATTTGGCCTCAGAGCCTGGGGCCATCCATTCTCTTCAATCTGTCGAATCTCACTAAATCCCATTGATATTTCCTTTGAAATGTTTCTCCAGTTCATCCCTTCGTCTCTTTATTTCTACTCCTTTTATTCTGGTGCAGCGCGTCACCACCTACTGTGCAGCCTCCTGACTGGAGCCCTGTGTCAGGCCATTCCCTGGCCTATTCTGTTTGGTGCATACAGATCTGTCTTCTGTGCTGCTGCAGTAGGTCAGAGAGCCCTGCTCACAGAATGGCCATCATGTCCTGAGTTTCAAGGTTCTCTATGATTTACACACAATTTTAAGCTTCTGCTACTATTTACCAACACAACGTTCTAGCACGTAGTCTACTCTGGTGTCCCTCCAAGAGATGAGGACAGTAGCGCTTGCTCATCCATTGTTAACAGAACCCTTACTTTCCTATTTCCCTCAGTACCTCAGTACGTTGCTACTTCTGGCTGGTTTACCCAAAGCGCTCTCTTTTTTTTGCATCTATTCAAACTCCACAAGCCCCTGAGTTTCACCTCGAGTCCTCCTATGCCATAGGCCTTCCTAGAACACTTGGGAATCATCAATTATTACTTTTAACACATATTTTGCCGCTTCATCCCATACTGCCTTCTACAGATCTCTGCAGTTGAGCTTTCCATAAGTGGTCACAAGGCAAAATGGGTTACGGGTGTCTCCAGGAGACACAGATGGTTGTAAACTTTATAGTGATCCAAAATTTACAACCATTTTACAACCATTCAGTGATTTGTAATAGTTGAAATTATATTCAGAAACTGTGTGGCTCAGTCCGTAAGCTTCCAGGTTTCAGTAATTATTGTGTTTTCGTGCTTAAGGTTTTATGCATTAGCACCTGCCAGAGAAGATGCTTGTTTAGGGTTTTCCCCTTTATCCATATTAGAACCATCTCTGTAAGTCTGCTTAGTATCGCTGAATTGTAATGT